CGGGTTGGCCATTCATAATTTGACACCAACGCATCACGTCAGTGCACGAATCTGATTCATCTCATGTCGTCGTTTTCTGGAAAACCCCACGCCTTAGCTGTGAGACGAGACGTGACACCGTCCATATCCGATATAATTCATTGGCCCATTCTACTGCATTGGATCCATAGGCATGGGCGAGTTGGAGGACGTTTAGATCCCACCGTTTAGGTATATAAGGCCTTTTTTTTCACTTGGACTACGCTGTGACAACTCCCTTTTCAGTTCTAAATCCCCTTGTCCTCCAATATCCCACTATCTCTCTCATCTCTATATTTGGAATCGAACACCCTGGACCATAAGTTCTCTTCTGGCCAATTTTGTTTCTACTGTGCAACCCTGCCTACACCCAGACCCTTGGGAATTCCTGCCTAACAAAAGGTCGCCGTGATGGGTACGCCACTAACAGAAACGGTGATTATCACGGGTGGAGATGGATTGTTGGGTTCAAAGATCGCTATAGAGATCGCGAAGAAGCAACCTTTCGTCCATCTATTGTTGACGGCAAAGGAGATAAGAACCGATGATGTCCGCGATGTGATGGGGAAGATCCGCTTGATCGGCCCCAGGTCGATCGAGGTTCTTACCCTTGATCTGACCGATCTGAAATCCGTCGCATCCTTCGCCAAAGCCACTGTCGACCGTGTTCGCCTCAGAGACATTCCGCCTGTAACCAGTCTGATCCACTCTGCTGTGGCGACATCTTACGTTATTGAGGATCTCACATCAGATGGCTACGATCCTGTGTATCAGACAAATTGCTTATCTCCCTTTTTATTGACTATTGGTCTGCTCGAGGCATTCCGGGCCGGAGATGGTACACCAAAAAGCGGAGCGAAGGTGATCAATATCGGCTGTTCTGCAATGTCTTCCGGGAGGTTGGATTACTTCGACCGCGACTATGGAAGAAACGGCAGGCGACCGGGCACTACGCTGAGCGCAAAGGAAGAGAATCTTCGGTTTAGGAGCAGCAAGTTAATGGCGAGTGTCGCATTGTATGCATTGAGGCGGAGCTTGATCTGGGTAAGTTGACAATTCGGAGTTAGAGCCCCCCCCCCGATTGCCAACTAAGAAATCTATTTATAGACCGGCAATATATCGCTTGATATCTTCACCTTGGATCCTGGAGGCATGACTGGCCAGAGTACTCTGCGGACCAAGGCGCCCATGTCGGTCAGAGTCGCACATCAGACTCGGTCCGGGCTTCGGCCATTCTTGCGCATGGTATCCCGAAGTTCCATGAATAAGGCGAGGGGTCCAGCTAAGGCGATCGCCAGAGTCGCATTCCACATCGACACGGTGGGGAACTGGCAAAAGGAACACTATTTTATTCTCGACAGCGATTATGAGGCCGCATCCGTCTTGCTGAGCTTGCGTGATGGGGAAAAAGTGAACAAACTCTTAATACAGATGATGCAAATGATTGAAGTGGAAACAAAGCAGATGGATTCTCCTGCTCCTCTTCGACCTCAACTGAGTATGATCTCGCCTCCTATGCTTTCCCGATGAAGGGAGGAACTTATCTAGTAATACTAGCAGGGGGGAATTTTAAAACTACTTTAATCAAAGTAACAAAGCCTCTTGGAACAGTACTGCATTTATTTATGTACGTCTATCCTCATTTATGGTAAATAGTGCCTAGAACCTCATGTAGAAGAAACCAGGCACTGCAAGCGGATGACCGGATTTGGTGACCACAATCTAAGACAATTGGATCACATCAAGTCTTCGGAGGTTCCTGTCAGCTTCTTTTGCTTCTTTCATTTTTGTTTCCTTTCGCTATTCCAATATTCCCGTAAGAATCTCATTTCCTGTACTTGAGCCTGCTACGATTTGGCTCTTTTTTTTTGAACCCCTACAAATTCGGGGCTGTCACTAGGGGTCTGGCCGTTGCATCAGTTCTTGGCCCCCGACATAAGCGCTTCGACGGCCTGTGACAGCGCCCGCAGTGATGAACCGACACGTCCTCGAAAAGGGCCACTCTGCCTATCCAAGGGGTTCTGCATTTTCAATTTCACCGAATAGGTAAAGCCGAGTACCCAGTCCGAGCTAAGCTCGCTTCTCATTGTCCGAGCTCGGAGCCCCGTTGTCATGCCAGCTCATCAAGCTTGAAATCGAGACTGACTAGTTTCCCTTCGCTCACAGGTTCCAGCCTCGCTCGCCACCTGCCCTTCGGAGACGCCGGCAGCTCTTCCAGCGCCTCTGCCTCCTTGGCGGTGTGTCGCTAGTGCTATTCCTCTTGATCTTTCCCTCCTGGCGCGCCGCCATCCTTCCCACCATCTCACTCGGCCTTCTCTCTTACCCCGGAGATCTACACCTACAGACGGTCCGATATTATGATTTATCTGAAGTGCAAGGGACGGAGAAGGGTTGGGAACGTGAAGAGCGTGTTCTGATGTGCACCCCGCTCCGGGATGCCTCATCGCACCTCCCGATGTTTTTCTCGCACCTTCGAAACCTCACATACCCGCACCACCTCATCGATCTGGCCTTTCTGGTATCAGACTCTCGGGATGACACCCTAGGCATCCTATCACGCATGTTGGAGGATACACAAAAAGACCCGGACCCTAAAATGCCCTTTGGGGAGATTTCCGTGATTCAGAAGGATTTCGGCCAGAAAGTCCAACAGGACGTTGAAAGTCGACATGGATTCGAGGCGCAGGCGAGCCGACGTAAGCTGATGGCGCAGGCCAGGAATTGGTTGCTGAGCGCAACGCTGCGTCCAACCCACAGCTGGGTCTACTGGAGAGATGCGGACGTGGAGACTGCTCCGTTCACCATAATTGAGGATCTCATGCGGCATAACAAGGATGTTATAGTCCCTAGTGAGTAGTGGCTATTGCCCGAGTGTATCGGTTATCTACTAACGGACTTTGTAGATGTCTGGCGCCCGCTTCCAGATTGGCTTGGCGGAGAGCAGCCTTACGATTTGAATTCCTGGCAAGAATCCGAGACGGCGTTGGCACTTGCGGATACCTTGGACGAGGATGCTGTCATTGTGGAAGGATATGCCGAGTACGCTACGTGGAGACCTCACCTTGCTTACCTCCGCGACCCCTACGGCGATCCAGACATGGAGATGGAGCTGGACGGGATTGGAGGTGTTAGTATCCTGGCCAAAGCCCGGGTCTTCCGTGCTGGTGTGCACTTCCCAGCCTTTAGTTTCGAGAAGCATGCCGAGACGGAAGGGTTTGGCAAGGTAAGACGGTTATCAACGAAGCGGTGGTTACCTTTGCTAAAATTTCCTAGATGGCTAAACGGATGAAGTTCTCGGTAATTGGACTACCACACTACACCATTTGGCATCTATACGAGCCCAGTGTCGATGACCTCCGGCATATGGAAGAAATGGAGGTAGAACGACTGGCTCGCGAAAAAGAAGAACAAGAGCGAGCTGAGCAAAAGGACAGCACCCAGTCCATGCCACTCGATACCGATCACATTGTGAACGGTGAAGAAGTGCAAGGCTCTGCTGATGGCCCGGTTGGCCAGCCCATGAAAGACACCGTAGAGGCCCAAGGTCACTTGAAAGCCCAAGCTGAAACCGTCGACCACGCCGAGAAAGCTGAAGTAGTTAAGAAAGCCAAACTCTGATTCTTAGCTGGCTTTCCCTCCTCGCTTCTTTGATCCAGCCGGCTGGATTAGGCATTTGCATTCTCACCTGCGCCTTGAATGTCTCATATCCCTGTCGGGGAAGACTATTTGTCTGTTTAGACTGGGGCATTTATATGCCCAAGCTCTAGGAGTGTAGGAGCTTTGCTTTTTCATTTTTGTTCCGTTCTTGCACATGTTTTTTTTTATGATTTTGGGGGATTTCTTTTTTTTTTTTTTTCTACGGAATCACAACGAAGTATAGCGGTTGACGTGTCATGGAGAGCTATTGTTTGGCCATTCAAGCGCAACCCACGGATAGTCTTGATTTTAATGTCTACTACACAGTACTGAGTAGTTGGCCGCTTAGACGGACTCTGTCCTTGACGAGGTAGTTCTCATTAGACCTGTTTAGCCTAAGATTATATACAGGACTTTACATTTAAGACACTTTACCTTGTCCTTTTAGATCCTTTCTCAGTTGTGCTTGTTTTTGGCTTATCGTTTTTATTGACTGTTTCATCCCCTTGTTGTTGTGGCTAGAAGCACTCCGTACAGAAAGAATTAGCCGCACAAGGAACGGAGTAGAATATACGCGGTAAAAAGGATGTGACGGGCGAGAACTAATTTTTCTATGCATGCGATATAATTTAGTCGGTAACTTTTAAATCGGCCTAATTATCCAACTGTAACATAAAGACCTTCCAACCCTTCAGGGCTACTATGTACATCGGATGAAGCCGAATCCCTCTTAGCCCGTGGTCCGTGTGTCGCCACTTCGCTTCAAACGCGTCCGAAGCCAATTCATTTCCCTGAATCGTACTCTGCTTCGAGTTACATACCTTGCTCACATTGTAACCTGCAATGTCTACTCAAGACTCACGCGGGATTCTGTTCACACATACTCGCCCTCAGGAAGGGTTCCGGTTGCTAGAACTTACCCCAGAGTTGGAAGAACTACTGACATCGAAAGATGCACCGGCGTAAGTTGATGCAATGAACAGGGGTTCAAGCAGACCGGAAGCAACCCATGCGCTGCTTTTTTTTTTTCAAAACAGACCCCCCTCGTCCTTAATTAGCAGCCCTCCACTAACTCGCGACGCCCATCAGACTTGAACTCAAATCGCCCTCTACAGCCCTTGCACAAGCAATAATCGATCCCACCGCCCACGACTACGTCAACCTATGCACACCTACACAAACCTACCGCATCCGCCAAGTCCAATCCTCAAATTCCCTGCATATCCTCCGTCCAAGCCGCGGAGAAATCTCTCAAGCGGACATCAAAGTTGTTGAAGAGGAAGCCGGCGAAAGTGGCTCGTTGAACCTTCCAGATGAAGCTGTAACGGACATTGCAAAGTGTTCCTCCACACTGGAACTGCATGTCCCACCGGGAGGATTCTCAGCCGTCCCGTTTTTAGAGAAGAGTCTGCGGCTTTATGACCGGCGCTGTGACGATGATGGGGATCTCGCAATGGGCGGTATCGCTGAATCCACGGGCCTGCTGGGATCAAAGGAGATGCGCACAGCCAGGGAGAATTTGTGTCAGGATATTCCAGTGTCAACGGCGCAGTGTGAGCAGGGCTGGTTGGAGCTTTGCGCGTTCGTAGATGGGACTGAGGAGGTGGCGTGTTGGCGGCCCTCGGCGCGGTCTCGATTGGCTGTTTGGAAGCGGTTGGTCGAGGGTGCTGTTTTACAGGGCATTGATCTTGAGAAGCAGTTTCTTGTTGGGGACTTGTGGAAGTCCGTCCTAGATGATGATGATGATGATGAGATGGAGCCGCCGTTTCCACGCGCGTTGCTAGAGGCTGTTGTGAGGCGCATATGCATTTCAGATGAACGGCCGCCTTTGTCGGATGATATTCAATGTGAGTCCAAAATGGACGGTGAGATCTGGTTGCAGGTATTGAACTTGCTAATGCCTTTTGTGCTGTTCTCTAGGGGCGAGCTTTGACAAGACCGAGTGCACACAGTGGGTTGGCGAGACTTACTTGGCTGCCACTGCTCCGACTCCGTCGTCTGCTGTTGGAAGAAGTGAATTTCTTCGCGCATGGAGAGACTGTCTACCTGAGACATGGAGAGGAGAAGCAACGCTGTCAAAGTTACCGGCAAGTCGCTCTTTCCCCACATGAGCTGTGGCGCAATAGCTGACCTTGACTACAGAATGGCTGCTACAACAGTCCTGACCCCACGACTATCTGCTTTGTTGAGCCCTTGCAACGACAGCCAACGAACAAATCCGCCTCTGCACCTGCCACAGCTGCGAAGGCCAAGAATGCTAGAAATTGGCACGAACTGCTCAAAAGCCGTCGTTGATTGCGAAAAGAACTAGCCCACTTGCTTCGTGGACTGCCATAGCATCTATTCTATGATGCGTGCATCTCTAGAAGCATCACGATCATATCTGCCGCCCAAACTTGCCTCGATCTGCATTTTCAGAAAGGAATGCGAAGAATCCCGAGCAATCAAAGAAACAAACCTCGACACACTGCTCCAATGAAGGAATGATTAGCACCAAGTGTACTTCTCATTCAACCACCACTCTACATCCTTGCCCAATCCTTGCTCCTCGCCAGTCCAACGTAAACTGGAGATGCTCTCCTTTTCACGGTGCACGAGTTCAGCCTTTGGGTCTATCAAAGCCACCGCCTTCTGCAAAAGGGGAGTAGGGTTCCAGAATTCAACCTTGCTCATGTTCCACTCGCGCGCCTCTTGTTGTGCTCGCCGGAGGATAGCAGCCATAGCCTGGACAGTGGCCTGCTCCTCCGCCGGAGATGTGGGGTCATCATACACCCACCGAAGAATGTAGAGGACATTGTCCTCGGGTGTCTCGCCGAAGTTCCGGTTCCAAGCGCAATACACGCGAGCCTGGTCATCACCAGCTCCCTTGACTACAGGGGGGGAGTGTTCGGGAATCAAGTTCTCGGCATAAAACTCCTCTCGAGCCCAATGCCAGGCAAAGTGATCAAAGTTGGGTAAAATGGCAATCTTAGCACCACTCGTCTTCTGCGACGCCAGACGCATCTGGTCGCGCAGCTTGGCAAGGACAGTCTCACTGCACATACACTTCTGAACATCTTCAGCAAATAGATCCCTCGTGACAGCCTTCTCTAGCCCGCCCGTAGTAGCCGGTAACGACATATGGGAAGACAAGAATGGCCGCCACCCAAAATGGGCGTAAAACTTCTTCCCAATGTCCGAGAAAAGTACCGTAAACAACGACATCCGTCGTGGCTCTTTCTCCATCTCCCACTTCTCGAGTCTAGTGCTCAGCTCCTCTAGCATTCGCTTCGCGTATCCTTTCCCGCGGAAATCAGGCCGGCAGTAGACACTCCCCACGCCGTGCGTGGAAACCGTCTCTACCTGCCCGTCGTACGCGAGCAGTGCTGTCTTCCGGTATGACTCACACGAGCTGAGGATTGTGCGCTCATCCTCGGGCTCATTGCGATCCACTAAGATCCAGCAGGTTAGGCCGTCGCGCGTCAGTCGTTGCTGGAGGAGATGATTCTCGCGTTCTATATATGTTTCCACGTCTAGTGGCCCTTTCCAGGCGACGCTGTTGAGCTTGATTGAGGCAATGCGCTCTGATGCTGTGGCTGGGACTAGAATCAGATCTGGTGATTCCCCCGCAGGAAGGGTGGGGATTTCTGCGGCAATCATATTGAATTGAGGTTCAAGTGTGAGTTCTCGAAATTGGGGATGCAGAAATGAGAAAACCCCCCAAGTGCAGGTGCAACGATATCGGAGAAAAGTGAAATCCGGGGTTATGAAGTCCAAAATTAAAAGATGTTCCGAAGACACAACAAAACTCAGCTTGGAAGATCCCCGTGAACACCGACGGAGCCCCGATGCCATAATAGACCGGTCATTTTCGAACTTTCTACTCCCATCTGGTCAAGATTATGACCTTGGGTCACACGAACCTCTATGATCGTACGGAGTGTATTCTCCCGATCTAAATCATTACAGACCAATCACACACCATTCATTCCTATTTCCCTCTCACCTTCGTGCATTCATCACGAGCAGGGCCGGATATGCCTGCCTCATACTGGCAAATAAATTTTTTTTTTAAAAAAAAAAGACCCGTGTTTCTCCTTGTTAATGGCCCGAAGCAAAGCGACGGCAAGCGACACAGGGTTTGCGTTAGTCCTTATAACTAACTAATTTACTAGGACCCTTCCAAGGTTGACGTAAGAACCCCGGGACCGGTCTTTGGTGGAGTTTCAACGAGTCATGTGAGCCTTAGCGATTATGTCAATGTTTTATTTATATACCAAGGACACGCGTAACTGTCGTGTCGATCTCCATTTAAATTAATGCTCTGACGTTCCAGATGGAGATTGCATATGAAGCTTCCCTGAGTGGGGGGCTGGAGCTCATGTGACTATTTTTAATTTTTTTTTATATATTACTGTTCCTTGGTAACTCGATCATAGAACTATACCGGCGAGTTAGACCTGTCTTCCATCCCCGAACCCAACAGCCTTCTTACTTCGATCAGAATTTTGGAACCTTATAATAGGATTTAATGTTGCCTTCACTTACCAAAATAGGGATATGTCTTCTAATCATCCCTCGACTCACGGCTCTCTACTAAAGATCAAGAAACACAGCTAGACTTCGCACGGTAATTATACACCGGTAGTTTAAAAGCCCTATTGAGCGGTGAATAGGGCATGTCAGCTCGCATAGGGTTGGTTGAGTTTCTCGTTGTCTTACTTCCCCCGGTGAACCCCACTAGTTCTTGTGATTTTTTTTAATATTGGTTTACTCTACTCACACATCCGCGGCCACGCATTTTCATCCGGAAAACCTCACTGGAAGCCCAAGTAGCGTCTCGAGAAACATATGATTCAAATAGTTGCTGTCAAATGTCTTAGCCCTATTCATCTTGTCAGAATGTTTGCTCAGTCTCACCTTTATGCCAGAGCTCTCTCTCTCTCTCTCTCTTTACTTTCATCCCACAAAGTAGATATGTTCTCAGAAATAGACCAAGCACAATAACATAGTTTTCTATCTTTCTCCTTCAACGGTATCCTCTCACCTGCATTGGATATTTGACTAGCACTCTTACAAAGTCGCCCCCGAAGGCCTAGCGGCCTGTTTTCAACAGGCAGATCAGGATATCCAGCAGAAGTGTAGCAAACATAGAGCAGTTGAAATGGAAATCAAATGACACGAACATAAATCCCAAATCAAACAAAACTTTATGGCAAACCAGACATTGTGGATGGCATAAGGGGACCTTCGTTTTGAACGCAATCTTTTCGCTCGGCTCATCAGCATGAGAGCAGACACAGAAAAACGCCAAAATGAGAAGACAACGAAGCGATATTGGGAACTAGTTGTTATTATAGTCGAATTTGCTAGAAAAGAGAATCTTGTAGTTGATTTCAACAAAGGAGACAGGTGAAATTCAGCGGAAAGATGGGAGATGGTATGAAAAAAAAAGAGGCCGGACCGTAGTGAGAAAAAAAAAAGCTAAGAGATAGAGCCCAGGCAACCAGACGAGATGCAAAATGAAGTAAATGGAAAGCTATGAAAAAAAACCGAGGGAAAAAGAAGAAAATAAGGATGAAGAAGGAGCGGCATAAGAGTAAGAGTGGAAAGAAGAGTAGTGAAAAATGAGCACTTGGAAATGAAGCACCAAAAGGAAAGAAATGAACCTGATCTATGTAAATAAATGCCGTGCAAGTCTCAAAAGTCGTCCGCTCCCCGTTTTATGTATTTGCGCCACGTCTTGTGGACGGCAGTACCGGAAATTCCTTCGTCCATAATGTATGTTCGATCGTTGGTCACGCTAAATCAAGAATGAAACAGAATTTGAGGGTGATCAGGGGGGAACAAGAGAAGGTAAAAAAGAGAAAGGGAGTTTTTAGAAAAAAAAAAACACAAAAACAAAGAGCGTGAATTCCCCCCATGGCCTGAAATAGGATAGGAGAATTTCGAGGTCATGAAGGCTGCTCTGAGTCCTCCGGTTCGTTGAATTTCTGCCGTGCCTCTTCCACCCACAACTCTAACCGAAGCTCACCGGCTTCGACACGTCGTACAGGTACTGTTTTGGCACGACCATTCGAGACCTTGGGGGCTGCTTGCTGGGATTCGCCGTTCCGCACTTTAGAGACGGAAAATGGTGCGGTACACGATCGTAGGTGCACTTTGCCCGGTTCCGCCACAATCCAAGTTTGTTCTTCCGTGGTGGTCCCTGCCGGTGGTAAAGCATCTTCCCGCACTTCAATGCAGACGGTGAAACTGAACTCATCATCACGGGGAAGTGGGGTCAACCGGGCACAGGCTGAGGCCAGTCTTGCTAGGCATGCCCGGAATTGTGCCTCGAGGTCAACTGAGGTTGGTGCGGGGCCCTGGTCTGGGACAGGGGCACCTGTATCAGATGAATCTTCATTTCTGTCCTCAAATGTAGTATTCACCTCTCCCGTAGGGGCACGCGGAAAGCCCGACAAATCAAAGGCATATCGTTCGAGGGGTTGGCTTGTGCGAAGAGATGAAATTATGATACTGACTGCGGTGATTGTGCCTTTGAGAATCTCCGTTCCAACTGCGATTGCAGCATCGTTGATGTAATCACAAACTTTTGGGTGACGCGATTGTCGGACAGGGTAGTTGTATGCCCGCACAGGGAGAAAGGTTGCGCGCGGATAGACGGAGCGCAGAAACAAGATTTGATGGACGGAGACGGTGAGGAAATTGGTAAAGGAAGCTGCTAACGCTGACTGGTTTGTAGGCAGCGATTTGGTAGCAGGCACCGGAGCAGAGAATGTGGTCATGGTGGTGGTGGTGGTGGTGGTTGTGGTGGTTGTGCTACTGCTCTCACTGGCAATCGGCATTGCCGTCGAACGATCCGGTTTCGTTTCCGCGGTGAGGGTGATTTTGGCGGGGTCTCGAAGAATCTGAATGATGTTCCACCCTAAAGCTATTCATCGCTCTGCCTTT